ACCAAACCATAAGGTGTAACTTGCCGTGAAGCACAAGGAGCTTACAGCTGCTGGTTATTGTAAATTCGCTATTGTATGGTTATGCCCCAGTCCCTTCCTAGCGCCGGAACTTACGATATCTCTACCGCTAACCCTATCCCAACCCAACCATAACCCCCTCATCCGTCTTGCGCAGCCCATTCTACAATAGCTGCGGATACTGGCATAGAGGTCTTCTACGATAGGGCACACAAGTGGACACAGGCCTCCGACGTTATTTTTCAGACTCTGCCGTTGATCTGAATTTATTACTTGTCGGATTTTTGCCGTCTTTACTTGAGTCCAAAATTTCATAATGCTAAGACTAATCGCTTAAGGACTAAAGTTAAGACTAAATGCTAACGACTAACGCCTAAGACATAATGCTAAAACTAATGCTTAATTACTGACTTAATTTAATAACCATTTTGTCTTCTTGTCAACGCGATTCTGACCCGCGCATCGAAAAATATCCTAGTCTGTCCTTCCGCAGTCGTCTCGCAGACCTTCATCAAGGCTGACGGCCGAGCGGTCACGGCGCGGCTGGAAATATCGGCGACAGTCTACTCGATATCGTCATCGACACGACATCCGACATTGACGGCTACGGGTAAGCTCCGCGTTTTTTTTTCTTTTTCTTTTTAACAAGCGACGGCAGCGGCCTGTAGCAATAGCGGCTTGTCTCCTTTGCCGCGAATTGAGTTTGGGACTAGTAACTTTTAGCAGGACAACTGTAGCATCTTGCCCTAAGCAGCGTTTGCCTTAAAATTGTCCCCCCTGCTTACTTTACGTATTACGCATATATGGATATTCTATTTACTGTATATACAATTCAGCAGCAGTGTTCCGACACGAAGCAAGGTGCCCGCCTCGCTCAATTCTCAGCCGCCACACAGGAAATTTGTCCAAAACACTGCCTTGCTGACGAAGAATCACCAGTCTTCCATAGAACAGTGCTTATAATGCAACAAAATACCTTAGAATGCGCCACAATTGCACCATTTTTTCACAAACATTCAAAAATCCTTCACCTGCAGTGCTCGCTATGCTAGGACATCGAAACGCGCCAAAAACACGCCAAACAACATTTTACCAGCCTCACTACGACCTTTTTTAGGCCAGCGGGAAACACTGTATACCCTCTTAAGGGTTTGGTTTGTCAATCGGTCTGTAATTTCGGTAATCGGATCAGTCGGTCTGCGACCAGATAATCGATGATCGGTCTAAATCGGTTACTCCGGCGGCGCGGCTGTTGTAATGCCCATGCGCTGTGCCGTAACGGTCGTCCGTGCATGTACGTGTGTGCCCATGCTATGTGCGGTCTTGCAGCCGGCTATAACAATCCCCTAGTCTGTCCTAGGCCTCTTAGCGCCCTCAACAGGAAGTACCTGCCGCGCGAATGCTTGCACGCCGTGATTTCCGAACTAACATATCGATGTCATCTCTGATTTCTCATCAGATTTCCCCAAGTCTTTCTTGTTCAAGTTTTACATTACTACTTCTTCGATTTTTTTTTTATGGAACATGATTATGGATTTTTGATAACCCAAGGTGGCTTGTTCGAGCACTGTTCAACCGCGCATGATCGAGTATACATCGTGCATCGTGGACTCACTACTGCACAGTATACTACTATAGATATATTTATCTATATTAGATCCAGTATATAGATATGGGTACTGTTAATCTATGCTAGAAGCAAATGTTAATGTATGTATGATGTGTATGTGTATTACGCTCGCTACGTTGCTTGCACTACGGTGCAATGTTCCACGACACAAAAGAGAGAGACGAGATGGAGCGCGCGAGAGCGCTATCATAGGAGCGACCGAGCTGACTTAGCGCGCCAGTCTCGATGACGACGACGGACATGTCTGCTGGATGGGTCCACCGGAGAATCGAGCTGACGAGCCCTGAGCCTGACAGAGAGAGAGAGACAGAGAGAGAGAGCAGAGCAGAGAGAGAGAGAGAGACGAGAGATAGAAGAGAGGAGAGAGAGAGAGAGAGAGAGAGAAGAGAGCGAGAGGATACTGAGAGCGAGAGAGAGAGAGAGAGAGAGAGCTTGCCTGATAGGAGAGAGAGGCGAGGGAAGAGAGAGGCGAGGGAGGGAGGAGGAGCGGGGCGAGGGAGGGAGGGAGGGGGAGGAGAGAGAGAGAGAGAGAGAGAGAAGATCGAGAGAGGGGAGGGGCGGGAGCTCTGTTTCGCGCCAGTGACTTGCAAAAGTCCTGGCAAAGGTTATCGCACACGGTGGAACGTACTCAGCAGGCTGGGCTTATAACCTATTTGCGTTTTGAGTATTATTATGGCCGGAGTTTCCTCTGAGTCTATGTGTGTGTCGTGCCCCTGTGCGTGCTGTTTGTCTGTGTGTGTGTGTTGTGTCGGTGTGTGTGTTCACTGTGTGTGTGTGTGTGTGTGTGTGTGTGTGCCCGCCCGCCCTGTGTGCGTGAGTGCGTGTGTGGCTGTGTGCCTGTGTGTGTGTGTGTCTGTGTCCGGTGCCGGCACTTTACGTCGCTCGTGTGTGTGGCCTGTGTGTGCGCCGTGTGTGTGTGCTGTGTGTGTGTGCGCGCGTGTGTGTTGTGGGTGTGTGCTGTTGTGTCGTGACTGTGGTGTCGGTGTGTGTGTGTATGTGTTGGTTGTGTGTTGGGCGTGCGTGTTGTGGCACTGTGTGGCGTGCATGTGTGATTCGGTGCGTGAGTGCGTTTCGTATGTCCGTGCGTGGTGTGCGCGTGCGTTGCGTGTACGTGCACGTGGGTGGGGAGGCGTGCTATGGGCAAACCGTTACCTACCATCTACATGCTATAGTCTTACACGCGCATCTGTATTAGCTCGTGTAATAGTAGCATGCTCCCAGAATAAATACATCCAGGGCCGTAGCTAGCCGAGGGGGGGGGGGCAGGTCGCTGCCCAGAAAAAAAGTAGATACAAATACAATGTGTCAAAGGCGTCGCCTTCGCAGATAACACAATCGTACGCGACTTTCGCCCCCCTCCTCCCCGAGGAAAATGCGGTTAGTACACTGCTGGCCATCGTTCTTGATTGGCGTGTATGTTAGGTGGCGGTTCCCTGGAATTGAACAAGAATGGTGTCCCCTACGCGGGTTTTGTGCCCCTATGTGGTGTTCGTCGTTACTGCTCTGTCGTGGGCTGTTGATGCCTTGCCCCCTGCGTAGAACGTGGCGGGGGAGGGAGAGGGGAGGGCGGGAGCGGGCTTGTTGCCAGCTAATGATGAATGCTTATTGTCTATAGTGTGGCTCTTAACGACATTTGTGTGTGTTTACTGCCCTCCTCAAACCGCCCCTGGTGAGTGGCGTCAGTTGAGCTCTGCAATGAGCTTAATGACCTTAATGAGGGAGGGTTGCAGCGCAAGAGAAAGGGGCCGGAAGCGAGGGGCGGTACGAGATGAGTGGGAGGGCAGGAAGAGATGAGAGAGAGAGAGGAGGAGGGATAGATAGATAGATAGAGCGAGATAGAGAGAGAGACACACGGAGGTAGAGAGGAGAGACAGCAGAGAGAAAGAGGAGAGAGATGGAGCGGCAGAGTTAGGAGGAAGGAGAGCAAGATAGACGGTAAAAACAATATAATAGAGAGAGAAAGAAAATAGGAGACAGAGAGAGTCTGTAGATGAGGTAACATCAGGACGAGTGCTGCGACAGATGCGCAGCTGAGTACACGTACTCACCGCGGGGGCGGCGGGGCATGCGCGCGGGAACTCCACTCTAACAGTGCAGTGGGCAGCTGATGAGTTGTGTACAGTAACGAGTCATGCTCTCTCTCTCTCCTCTTCTTCTCTCCTCTTCCTCTCTCTTCTCTCTCCTCCTCTCTCTCTCTCTCTCTCCTCTCTCTCTCTCTCTCCTCTCTCTCATCTCTCCTCTCTCTCTCTTCTCTCTCTCTCTCTCTCTCTCTCTCTCTCTCTCTTCTCTCTCTCTCGCTCTTCTCTTCTCTCTCTGCTCTCTCTCTCGTCTCTCTCCTCTCGTCTACTCTCTCTCTCTCTCTGCGCCTCTCTCGCTCTCTCTCTCTCTCTCTCGCTCTCTCTTCTCTCCTCTCTCTCTCTCTCTCTCGCCTCTCGCTCCTCGCTCTCTCGCTCTCTCTCTCTCGCTCTCTCTCTCCCGACCTCGCTCTCTCTCTCTCTCTCGTCTCTCTCTGCTCTCTCTCTCTCTCTCTCTTCTCTCTCTCTCTCTCTCTCTCTCTCTCTTCTTTCACTCTCTCCCTCTCGCTCTTCTTCTCTCTCTCTCTCTCTCTCTCTCTCTCTCTCCTCTCCTCTACTCTCTCTCTCTCTCTCTCTCTCTCTCTCTCTCTCCGCTCTCTCTCCTCTCTCTCTTCTCTCGCCTCTCTCTCATCTTTTCCGTCTGCACGTCTCTTTTCGCCTCTTCTCTCTCTCTCGCTCTCTCTCTCGCTCTCTCTCTCTCTCTCTCTCTGCCTCTCTCTCTCTCTCTCTCCTGCTCTCTCGTCTCTCTCGCTCTACTCTCTCTCTCTCTCGGCTTCTCTCTCTCTCTCTCTCTGCTCTCTCTCTCTCGTTCTCTCTACTCTTCATCTCTCTCTCTCTCGCTTCTCTCTCTCTCTCTCTCTGCTCTCTCTCGCTACTCTCGCCTCTCTCATTCTCTCTCCTCTCTCTCTCTCGCTTCTCTTCTCTCTCGCTCTCTCGCCGCTTCTCCTTCTCTCTCTCGGCCTCTCCTCTCCCATCGCTCGTCTCTCTCCCTCGCTCTCTCTCTCTCTCTCTCTCTCTCCTCTCCTCCTCTTTCTCTCTTCTCTCTCTCTCTCTCTCTCTTTCACTCATCTCTCTCTCGCTCTCTCTCTCTCTCTCTCCCTCTCGCTCTCTCTCTCTCTTCCTTCCGGTTAATCTCTCTCTCTCTCTCTCCTCTCTCTCTCTCTCTCTCTCTCTCGCTCTCTCTCTCTCACTCTCTCTCTCTCTCTCTCTCTCTCTCTCTCGCTCTGCTCTCTCTCTCTCTCTCTCGCTCTCTCTCTCTCTCTCTCTCTCGTCTCTCTCGTCTCTTCTCTCTCTCTCTCTCTCTCTCTCGTCTCTCGCTCTCTCTCCTCTTCTCTCTTTCTCTCTCTCTCTCTCTCTCTCTCTCCCTCTCTCTCTCTTCTCTCTCTTCTCTTTCTCTCTCTTCTTCTCCTTCGGTCGTCCCTCTCTCTTTCTCTCTTCTCTCTCTTCTCTCTTCTCTCTCGTCTCTCTCTCTCTCATGCTCTCGTCTCTCTTTCTCTCTCTCTCTCTCTTCGCTCTCTCTCTCTTTCTCTTCTCTCTCTCTGTTGACCTCTCTCCTCTCTCTCCTCTGCTTCTCTCTTCTCTCTCTTCTCTCTCCTTCTCATCTTCTCTCTCTCTCTCTGCTCTCTCCTCTCTTCTCTCCTCTCTCTCTCTCTCTCTCTTTCTTCTCTTCTCCTCTCTCTTTCTCTCTCTCTCTCTGTCTCTCTTCTCTCTCTCTCTCTCTCTCTCTCTTCCTCTCGTCTCTCTCTCTTTCCTCTCTCTCTCTCTCTTTTCTCTCTCTCTCTCTTTCTTCGCTCTTGTCTCTCTCTTCTCTCTCTCTCTCTTCTCTCTCTCTCTCTCTCTCTCTCTTCTCTCTCTCATCTCTCTCTCTCTTCTCTCGCTCTCCCTCTCTACTCTCTCACTCATCCATTTTCTCTCTCTCTCACGTCACTTTCTCTCTCTATGCTATAACAGCTACACATACATATATATCAGAAGTAGATACATAGGGAATAAAATCCTTTGATCTACTTCTCGAATATATATATATATAAATATATGACATGTATAATTACCCCCTGTAGACGAGCGTCCGTGAGACGTGAACGCTGCGCTTGCTCTCTAACCTCCCATTTCTGCGCTCCTCTCTCGCTATAGTATAACAGCTACACATGTGATATCATATATTTATAGAGATATTATAATATATAATATATATGATATCAGGGTTTCTGTATACTAGGAGGCCACAGTGCCGCGACTCACGCGCCAGAGCCAACATTTGTCAAATTTAAACATCGCCATTGTGAAAATGGTTCCTGTATTTACTGATAAGTATATTCCTGCAATCTATGTGGTAACCTATAAATATATCAATACATCCTGTATTTTAACTCTCCATCATGCACATATTTTCCCCAACTGGCCATAACCTCTTTGTCTAACTTTTTCCCAGAAGAAAAAAAAAACCCCTGTATATAATACATACTTACATATATATAATATATATATATATATATATATATTATAATATATATATACAAGTATATCATTCCCCCTGTATGGTGCGTGTGAGCGGCGAACGCCTTGCCTGCCTCTAACCTTCTCTATAGTATTACAGCTACACACACACACGCCACGCACGCACCACACACGCAACACACACACACACACCACACACACACACACACACACACATACACACACACACACACCACCACACACACACAAACCACGCACGCACGCACGCACGCACGCAACACACATACACAGCAACACACACGCAACATACTATATATATAACTATACATGCTATGTATTTCTCCCTGTAGGGCTGCCGTGTGAGGAACGCTTGGCCATTGCCTCTGACGTGTTCAGCGTCATCCTGAAGCAGGCGGATTACGACCGGCTACCCGAGAAACCACCGATGAGGCCCAGCTTAGACATGCCTGGACCTTGCCGTACAGCTCTACAGACACGACGTAACCCTAGCCTAGCTTCTACCTAACACTAACCCTTACCCACTGATGGAGAGCTAAGACATGGCTGGACCTTGCTACAGATCTATCAGACAGTACGTAACCCCTAGCGAAACCGTAACCCTAACTCTAACCCTAACCCACTGATGAGGAGCTAGACATGCTGGACCTTGCCTACAGTCTATCAGACACGTACGTAACCCTAATCCTAGTCCTAGCCTTAACTCTACAACCCTAGCTCTAGACTCTACCCTAACCACTAACCCTAACCCACCGATGAGGAGCTAACATGCTGGACCTTGCCTACAATCTCTCAGGACCCGTTACGGTCAACCCAGCCTACATTCTAACCCTAACCCTAGCTCTAACTCTAACCCTAGGCTCACGCTAGCCTCTAAGACTAACCCATAACCCACTGAATGAGGAGCTAGACATGCTCGGACATCTCATACAGGCTATCAGACGTCAACACGTACGTCACACGAGTTAGCTCTAGCTCGATAACACTAACATCTACACACTAAGGCCATGATCAAAAATATTGATTTTGGTTGTCGCGCAACCCGAGCCGCCCCAAAAAGGGGCGAATCGAAAAAATTTATTGTCTTTCCCATTTTTTTTTTACAAATTGTGTCACTGTACATTATATAAAGATATGGTCCACAATACATTATATGTACAAGCAAAACAAACATTCAACATAAAACGGTATCTCCACACAACCACACCCGAGCATGTAGATCACCATGGCTGAATTTGCTATACAAAGACCCTCCTCAAAATAAATAAGCCTACCTACCTACCCAAACTTTCAGTCGGCGCGCGCGCTCGGCGCGGTGAGGGCCAAAACAAATATTTTTTCTAATGTTGGCCAGGAACCAATACACTCACCACAGTGCTCTCTAGATCTGACACGTACATAACCACAGCCTAGCTCTAACTCTTATCCTGACCCTAACCCTAACCTAATACCTTGCCTACAGTCTATCTGGCACGTACGTAACCATAGCTACTCCTGAACAGTGCTAGTACAGCAGATAAGGTCTATGTTCCCCTGACCTCTGTTTGCCCTGGCTCGTTTAGCCTATTTCTGACTAATAATATATATATTATACTATATATATATATATAATATATATTAGGGTTAGGGTTAGGGTTAGTCAGAAATAGCTAAACAAGCCAGGTCAAACAGTGGTCAGGGGGACATAGACCCTACGAGCGCTAGTACATGCGTCACGGTATACGTTAATGTAGTCGTTCGCAAATAATAGAGTCGGACTTAAAGATGAGAGTTCATGTCGCTGCAGAACCCTGCGAAATTCCGGGGTCACGGCACTAACACGGGTTTGCCTGTGCCGTATCACGCTCACCTGACCTTGACCTTGACCTCTGTTCGCAGGTCGCGGCTCGGCTGCCAGGTCATCCTTACCAAGGATCTGGACGGGCTGACGGTTCAGGTGCCCGAGGGAATAGCCGACGCTCGGGAGGTCGACTGACCTTTCACGACCTTGTATGACCTTGCTTGACCTCGCACGGGTTCCCGCCGGGAGATGGAGGGATCGATGACGCGATATTCGCCCTATGGGTGGCGCTAGCTGTGTGTGCGTGCGCGCGTGAGTTTGTGTGTGTGTGTGTGAGGCTGTGAGGTGTGTGTGTATGTGCGTGCCTATGTGAGAGTGAGAGTGTGTGCATGTTTGTGTGTGCATGTGAGCGAGCGAGCGTGCGTGCAAGGCGTGCATGTGAGTGTGTGTGTGCATATGCACGCGTGTGTTTGATGTACGAGGCAGTTGGTAAGGTCTCCACACGAGTGGCTCTGCTCACCAACGTTTAGGAAATTGAAAAAATGTAGATAGCAGTATTTCACAGCTTGTAGGACGCACTGGTAACGGTATTTCACAGCTTATAGATGCACTTTTTAACTCTGAGAATGTCTCCATCATCCACCCTGTGTGCTTAGGGTCGTAGCCTGCGGGGGCCAAGGGGGGCAGCGGCCCCCCCTAGATTTTGGAGCAAAATTTAAAAAATAAATTGTTTCACTAAAAGAGAATTGCCGTAGTCGGAATGAAGGCTGTACAAACAAACAACTCAAAAGTACCTCAAATACTATCGATCTACATTTTCAACATTTTCTGTGGGAGGACCCCTAGACCCCCCACCTTTTTCTCGCCCCCTCCTTGAAATCCTGGATCCGTCACTGCCCTCCCCCCCTAGGAATTTGCTCAGCCTACGGCCCTGGTACTTCTAATACTGCGTACGTATTATAAGCCGATGATCGGTGTAGCGGACAGTATTATAGCTATGATTTTTTAGCTGCTGTATGGTAGAATGTACACATCAGCGGATTTGCCTACAGTGTACATACAAATGTACTGTGTATCTAATGCTGAGCGATAGTCAGGGAGAGTTGAATGAAATACCGGGACTTTAGTGGGTAAAAACAGAAAATATCAAGAGTGCATCCTTATTTTTGACAACACGTACCTATTAGCGCGGACAGCTATTATCAGGAGTAGATAATAGAGTAGATAATTCTATTATCTACTCCTGCTATTATGTATGTAGTAACTTTTTACCAGATTATTGTTTAAATTTGTGGGGGGGGTGTCTAATATATTGGAGCGTCTCGTAAGATGCGTGACATGGTACTGGTATATAAACGAATAATTTCACGAGGCACTTCTGACGTGTTTCGCGATCGTGACGTGTGAAGCAGACTCATCTCAACTCTCGATTCGTCGTTGAAAACGCCCATTTCGTTGTCGCGCGATTTCGACGTTTAAAATTTCGCAAAGAATGTTTATACGCAGACGCATTCCATGCGCAACACTCGAGTAGATTAGTGACAGCTTGCGGCGTTGTTGGCGTTGTTGGGTGCGTTTCTGCGAGCGATTTTATTCTAGATACTATCATATCTTGAAACCCTTTCGTGTCGGCTTCTTACGCAGCGAAAGCTATCTGTTATGCTTCAAGTGAATCAGAAACACTTTACAGTGGATGATATTTATCACGGATAGATATGCGCGTTACGTTGACTTAACGGTGTGTTAATGTCGACATAGCAGTTGTTACGACGTTGTATGTTCGTGGTGTTTTATGTTCGAGTGAATATGTGATGACGCACGCACACCAAAGTTCGCAGTTATCGAGATTTTACAATCGATTTATACGTTTTGTTACGTTTGATACGGAACATAATTGTGTGTGTGTGTGCGGGCGTGTGTACGTACGTGTATGTGTGTCCGTACGTGTGTGTGTGTCTGGTGTGCGTGCGTGCGTGCGTGCGTGTGTACGTGCGCGTGAGGTGGGGGAGGGGTTCTATGGGTAAACCGTTACCTACCTCTACCATTGCTTAGTTACACGCGCATCTGTATAATAGCATGCTCCCAGAATAAATACATCCAGGGCTGTAGCTAGCCGAGGGGGGGGGGCAGTTGCCCAGAAAAAAAGTAGATACAATACATGGTCAAAGGCAGTCGCCTTCCCAGAACACACAATGTACGTGACTTTGTCCCCCCCCTCCTCCCCAGGAAAAATGGGTTAGCTACGCTGCTGGCATCGTCCTTTATTGGTTAATTGTTAGGTGGATTCCGAATTGAACAAGAAGTGTCTCTACGCGGGTTTTTGCACCTAGTTCTGTCGTTACTGTCTGTCGTGGGTGTGGATGCGTGCCCCCTGGTAGAACGTGGGGGGGAGGGGGAGGGGAGGGGGGAGGGGCATTGTTGCCAGCAATGATGTAATGTAATGTCTATAGTGTGGCTTAACGAATGGTGTACGTGTTTACTGCTCCTCAACCGCCCCCTGGTGAGTGGGTCAGTTGAGCTGAATGAGGCTTAATGAGCTTAATGAGGGAGTTGTCAGGCAAGAGAAAGGCACGGGAAGGAGGGAGAGAGTGAGGGAGGGGCAGAAAGAGAGAGAGAGAGAGAGAGAGAGAGGGGGGGGATAGATAGAGCGAGATAGAGAGAGAGACAGAAGCAGAGAGATTGAGAGAGAGAGAGAGGGATTGATAGATAGATAGAGCGAGATAGAGAGAGAGAGAGAGAAGCAGAGCGAAAGAGACCGAGAGAGTGTGAGAAAGAGAGAGAGAGAGAGTTAGAGGGAGGGAGAGCAAGATAGAGGTAAACAACATATAATAAGAGAGAGAGAAAGAAAGAGAGAGAGAGTGTAGATGATGTAACCATCAGGATGAGGTGCGACAGGGATGGGCAGCTGACGTAACTCACCGCGGGGGGCGGGCGGGGATGGGCGGGAATCCACTCATAACAGTGCGTGGGCAGTGATGAGTTTGTACAGTAAGAGGTCATCTCTCTCGCGGGGAGGGGGGGTCCGCGGGGATCGGAGGGGAGGGGGTCGATCAACATTGATAAGCTATTTATCGGTAGCGAAAGAGAGCGTCGAGTTCGTTTTTTTTTATCCGGAAAACGAACGTCGATGTCCCGAAAGTTAAAGTAGTTTTTAAAGTAATGTTAAGCTAAAAGTAATTTTTATTCGTCGGTTCGTAGACGGCAAGAGCCTTCATGTGCACATCCGAGTGAATTGCCGATTAGAAGTAGATCACCGTTGTGTCGTTTATCTTACGTAGCCGTATTCCGTTATCGTCTAAACTCTACGAAGTGTTGGGAGAACATTGAGATGTACATCTTGTTAAGTAGATCAGCTAGATCAGTAGATCAGCTAGATCAGTAGATCAGCTACTACGTCACAGAGTTGCTTTTGATTCGTACCGTGGGCGCCCCGTCGTATACAAATAACAATAAAAACGTTAACTGTTGCTTTACACGACGAGTATGCGTTTTATGTCGTCTAAAATTCATACAGTGTGTTTATTCACTATCTCCTGCGTTACCACGTTATACTAACGCGAGACTGAAAGCTCTACCTATTATTATGTTCCGTATCAAACGTAACAAAACGTATAAATCGATTGTAAAATCTCGATAACTGCGAACTTTGGTGTGCGTGCGTCATCACATGTTCACTCGTAACGCTTATTTACCAAAACACCACGAACATCACAACGTCGTAAAAAACTGCTATGTCGACATTAAACACACCGTTAAGTCACGTAACGCGCATATCTATCCGTGATAAATATTCATCCACTGTGAAGTGTTTCTGATTCACTTGAAGCATAACAGATAGCTTTCGCTGGCGTAGAACGCAAGCCGACACGAAAGGGTTTCGAGATACGCTAGTATCTAGAATAAAATCGCGTCGCAGAAACGCACCACAACAACGGCCGCAAGCTGTCACCAATCTACTCGAGTGTTGGCGCATGGAATGCGTCTGCGTATGAACTTTCTTCAACGTTTTAAACGTCGAAATCGCGCGCAAGACAACGAATGGACGACGAATCGAGAGTTGAGATGATTCTCTGCTTCACAGTGTCACGATCGCGAAACACATCCAGAGCAGAAGTGCCTCTGTGAAATATTCGTTATATACGCAGTACGATGTCACGCATCTTACGAGATGCTCCAATATATTAGACACCCCCCCCCACACACAGAATTTAAACAATAATGCTGGTAAAAAGTTACTACATACATAATAGCTGTGACGTCGCATCGTCAAAATAAGGATGCACTCTTGATATTTTCTTTTTTTAACCCACTAAGTCACTGTATTTCATACAACTCTCCCTGACTATCGCACAGCATTACATACACAGTACATTAGTTGTACACCAGAGATGCCAACACATATTTGAAGCAATCTGTAGTTTCCTGGCGATCAAATTAGTAGTTCGAGGGTCACTTAGTGACCGAGTTGGTGCTAGGGGGGCGGCATGGCCGCCCCGAAATTTTTTTTGATTCTGAGATGCAATTTCCTGCATTCTGAGGGTCAAAAATGACAATAAATTGACAAAAAATGACAATAATTTAGAAAAAAAATTTTTTTTTCCTATCACAGTGAAATTCGTAGTTTGATACAAACTGGTCGTAGTGGTGCAAAAGGAATAGAAATTCGTATAAATACGGATAAATCGTAGTGGTTGCATGCTCTGGTACACGGTAGGTAAATCGCGCTCATGTGTAGCATTCTACCATACAGCAGCTAAAAATCGTAGCTATATACTGCTCCGCTACAGATCTTCAGCTTTAATACGTAGCGCGCGGAGTATTTATAGCTACCAGGGCCGTAGGCCTGAAGCAAATTCCTAAGGGCGGGAAGGCGCTCCGTAACGGGACGTTCCAGGATTTCAAGGACCGGTGGCACATCCGCGGAGAAAAAGGTGGGGGTCTAGGGCGTCGTCCCCACAAGAAAGATGTTGAACAAATGTAGATCGGCCGAGGGAGATGGTATTTGGAGCGGCACTTTTGATGTAATGTAGCAGCTTAATCGACTACCGAGCAATTCTCTTTTAGTGAAACCAATTATTTTTTAAATTTTGCTCCAAAATCTAGGGTGCGGGCGCGTCCCCCCCGCCTCTCCCCCCCGTCACAGTGCGTACACCCTCCATGCACCAAGAAAGGTGACTGATGGAGACATTCTCAGCGTTAACTCCATGCATCTATAAGCTCGTGAATACCGTTACCAGTGCATCCTACAAGCTGTGAAATACTGCTATCTACATTTTTTGTCAATTTCCTAAACGTGGCGAGCAAGAAGACCACTCATGTGGAGACCTTAACGCAACTGCCTCGAACATCACCGACACACGCGTGGCATATGCACGACAACACAACTCACATGCACGCCGTTGCACGGCACGCATCGCTCACCATGCACAGTCACAAACATGCACACCTCTCACTCTCACAATAGGCCCGCACATAACACACACACCTCACAAGCCTACACACACACAACACAGCAAACTCGCACAGCGCGGC